GAGCTGCCTTGAGCCTGCCTCCTGAGCCTGGGGCTCAGCCTGTGGTGGGGTGGTTGGGAGTGGCACCTCATGTGGTACCCCACTGCTGAGGTTCTTTACCACTCAAAGGGGGTTCACCTGCCTGCCGCAAGACATGCCAACAGTCAAGAGGCAAAGTGGCAGGAGAGAAAGGACTTTTTATTACAGCTTGCTAGCAAGAGGGAAGATGGCCAAGTCATGTAAGAAAGAACCATCTTACAGAACAAAGACTACAGGCTAGTTATATAGGGGGCTGGTCTCCGGGTGGGGGCATCCATCTGATCTCCCAGTGGAGGCAGACATGTGGTCTTACTTCCTGATAGTCTTTTGTTTTACTGGATATGCATCAGAGACCGGAGCAATGCCCTATCTTTCAGTTGCCCTTGATGATGGCTATCAGCATAGATTCTCTGCCCAGGGGTCATCACATTCCTAAGGAACTCAAAAGAACAAAGTTATAGACTTATTGCAGCTGGGAGGGGCCATAAAATCCACAGAGCATGTCTGTGCTAGTTAATCAGAGGTCATTCAAAGTTACAATATGGTTTCTTTTCTACAACATGGCTTCCCTTATGTCAACCTTGTTTTGAGCCGGTATCAGTTTCAGGGCTTTCCACACTTCAAAGAGGCCTTCAGTGGTAGTTAGAAGACCCTTGGTCCTTTGAGGCTGGGGACCCTTGACAACTGCCTGTTTCCCTCTGAGCTTTAAATTGTCCTTCAAGGATGAGACTCCCGAAGCAAATGCTCTCAGAGCACCATTGGCCCTCACATTTGAGGCTTTTGGAGTTCCTCTGAGCACAGCTCTGCTCCCATGTCTCTGAATACTTCATCTCAGACTCCCACCCAACTTCCTCCACACGCACTCCAAATGCCTATGCAACTTCCTTTTTATGTACTCCAAATGCCAGTCATGCCCAGGTTCCCTTCTTAGCACTCTATATACACTCTACTGGACAATCTTATTCTTCCCATGGTTTCAACTACCATCTATATGTTGATATCTCCTAAACCTCTATCTCCTACCCAAACCTTCTTTTGCGCTTCAGACCAACATGTGTAAATGCTTGGTGGCCCTCCCTACATGATGTCCCACAGGCTTTGATTCTTGCGTTTCAATCCTGATTCCTTCATTATTGTGGTAGGCAACCTTTCAGATAGCCAACAATGATCTCTGCTATCTAAAATTCATACCCTGTGTAGTCCCATCCTACATAGTACTAGAGTTGATCTTTTTGACTAATTAATAGCATACAGAAGGGGATGGCAGGTCATTTCTGAGATTGCTTTAAAAGACTGTGGCTTCTATTTTGGGCTCTGGCTCGCTCATGCTCTCTCTGTCTCTCTCTCGCTCACTTTCTTGGATCTTTCTTTCCAGGGGAAGCAAGGTGCCATGGTGTGCCAAAAAACTGAAGCCTCTGGCCAACAGCCACAAGGAACTGAGGCCTGCCCACAACTGTGTAAGGGAACCTAGAAGCAGATTCTCCAGCCCCAGTTGGACCTTGAAGTGAGTGAAGCTTGACTGCAACCTTGAGCCAGAACCACCCAGTTATGCTGCTCCTGGATTCCTCACCCTCAGAAATTGTGTGAGTTAACAAATGTTTGCAGTTTTAAGCTGCTAAATTTGGGGGTGATTTGTTACACAGAATAAATGACAAATACAAGTATCCTCTATATCTGGATTCTGTCAATTCTTCTTTTTAAGTATCTTTCATTTCATTCTCTCCTCTCCATCCTGCTGCCACTTACTTAGTTTAGAGCTTCACCATTGGCTACCTATTGCAATAGACCACCAAATGGTTTGCCTGTTCCTAGTCTCTGTCTTCCAATCTACTCATCACACTACTTCAAGAGTAACATTTTTAGTACAAAAAGTCACATCACAAACCTCCCTACCCCATATACACATAAATACTCCAAATCTTTCAATGATGGTGACTCACTGTTTTCCCTTATCTTATCTATGCCTCTTTGACCTGCTGTTCCTCTAAAATCACTTAGCAAAAAGCATTCTTGTTACTGGCCACAAACACAGGTTCTCTTTACCCATCACACAAGAGGGGCCAAAGTAAAAACTGGATTGCCAGGCTTGTGGCAAGGAAATGGGTTTATTTCAGGTTATGTCAGCGGGGAGATGAGAGCAAGCCCTCAAATTCTTCTCAAAAGAAGGGAGGCAAGGGTTTTTAAAGGTTGTGAGGAATGCAGCTGCTTGTAGGGAGGGGGAGCATGTGGCCTTGCTGGTTGGTACCTTCCCACCAGCCTGTGTTCAGCCTTGTGAGGCTGCTTGCAGGGAGGGGGATGGTGACATAAGGGAATCCACAGGTGTGTGTCCTTGGTTGTCTGCCTCCATAATGGATGGTGGATGCTGGTACCAGGAAGGTGAGGAGTAAGCAGGGAAAGGGAATGGTTGCTTTTGGTTTTAACCCCATATATGCTGAGTTTAACGTAGGGGAACTGAGGGCCGGCCCCGTGGCTTAGCGGTTAAGTGCACGCGCTCTGCTGCTGGCGGCCCGGGTTCGGATCCCGGGCGTGCACCGACGCACCGCTTCTCCGGCCATGCTGAGGCCGCGTCCCACATACAGCAACTAGAAGGCTATGCAACTATGACATACAACTATCTACTGGGGCTTTGGGGGAAAAATAATAAAATTATAAAAAAAAAATGTAGGTGAACTGATATTAGGGCCGGTATCATTCTCTCATATTAGTTACTATTCCAAATAATCACACATGGGTCATTCAAGAGCCCACAGATATTTTTCATTCCCTACCCTCTACTGTTAGATGGAAGCAGAATCAAAAATTCCCAACCTAGGGAAAAATATAAGGGTGACACTCTAACCTGGAGTGCCATTTATTATTACCACGCTGGTAGTAATAAATGAAAATTTCCATTTCAGTTCTTGCCTTAGGTTTAGTATCATTTCCAACTTTATTTTGTCAGCTCTCAGTTATAAGGTTTAGCAGTGATATAATGTTTCTCTCTGTTGTATAAAGAACACATACTGAATGCCTTGGATAGCTACAAAAACTAATAAGTAATATTCACTGTGCTTATGATGTGCCACTCTTCTACAAACTTTATATGTATTACTTTGTGTAATCCTCACAATAACCCCAGGAGGTAGACATAATTTTCATGTTATAGATAAGATAACTGAAGAGTTGAGAAGTTAAATAACGTACTGTAGGTCACACAGCTGGTAAATGGTGGAGCTGGGACTTGAACCCACACAGCCTGGATCTGAGGTCATCCTTATAACCACAAGGCAGCCCTGCCTCCCATACAACCATGTTATACTGTTCGCCATTTCATACTCTACTGAACCCAACTCTCCACTACATCAGTAGGTCCTTGGGCTTGAATCTTAGGGATAACACTGGCTAAGAGGTATTGTTAAAAGTGGAGATATGGTTTTAAGATTCTCGATGTAAAATATAGTCTGGTGTCATCCAGTTAAGATGCATACTCTGGGGCTTGCCTCGTGGCGTAGCAGTTAAGTGTGCACACTCCTCTGTTGGCGGCCCGGGTTCAGATCCTGGGCGTGCACCCATGCACCGTTTGTCGGGCCATGCTGCGGCAGTGTCCCATGTAAAGTGGAGGAAGATGGGCACGGATGTTAGCCCAGGGCCAATCTTCCTCAGCAAAAAAAGAGGAGGATTGGCATGGATGTTAGCTCAGGGCTAATCTTCCTCACACACACACACAAAATAATAAATAAAATTAAAAAAAAGATTCATACTCTGGCTCTGCCACAGACCATGTGTGACCTTGATTAAGATATTTAACTTCTCTTTGCTGCAGTTACTTCATTTTAAAAATGGGTAGATGCTGTATTGTATCACTTCTAAAAGACATTTTTAGAAACTTTTTATATCTCTGGAATGAGATGGCATGTCATACTTTATCAGTGTTTTTTGTTTCTTTCTCAGAGGTATATAAAATAATGATGTCTTACAATCAATAGCATCTTAGACTGGATGAAATATCATTACCTACATCAGAAAGCAATTATAAAGAATAAATAAATAAGCATGTAAAGTTCAATACCCAGCATACACCATATTTAAAACTTTTTTTCTAAAAAAATAAAAAACCCCACAGCACCTGAAAATTACGTTGTGTTCATCTATGGTTGAAAGGCTGAGACCCCACCAAGAGCAAGAGTGGTATGGGGGATCACAACTGGCCACCCCAAAATATCTCTTTGCCTTATTTTCAAGAACAAAAGATTCTGAAAGAAACTTTGATCTCCCCCCTAACTGCCTAAAAGAAATTTAAGATACAAGGCTTGTCCCCAGGACAGGCCATCACCATAGATACCTCTGGGTATCGATAGACTGGGAGGGTCCTGGCTAAGCCCATTCTTATCAAAGTTCTGTTTACCAAACATTTGCTTTTCCATTTCCATGTGAATTGCCTTCCTCCCCTATGAATTCCCAAACCATTACCTCCAACACCCTCCTTTGTCTTTAGCTGAAGATGCTATTTAAGCTGACAACCTCAGCCATTTTGCTGAGTTACCCAGTTTTTCCTGGGTCTCTCCTATGTATACATGTTATAAAGCTTTGTTTGATTTTCTCCTGTTATTCTGTCTCATGTCAATTTAATTCATAGACCAGCCAGAAGGACCTAGAGTGGGTAGAGGATTTGTCTTCCTCCCCCAAAGTGGCAAGAAGTATATAGATAAGGGATCCAGGGTGAGCTGCACTGATCAGTATGTCCTAGAGCACAAAGTGTGATGTGCCACCCTTTAGGGACAAAAGGTACCAACCCAGAACACCCCAGTAAGAATACACATTTCACCCACTAGGCATAATTTTGTTTACAAAAGAACAAGCCACAAAACACAAAGCTGATCAGAGATAGAATTGGGATTATTCTTCCAAGATTTAGTTTTAAATGTGTTACGACAGTAACCCACGGCTCAAAAGCCAGGGAGGCTTTGATCTAACGTTAAGTTCACAATTACTGCTGTAGACCCAGAGAAAGATGCTGTTGAGTGGAATTGTGGGTGCCCACTAACTGAGCAAACAATAGAGAGATGGAGAAAATAAGGAAGGGGCCTAAAAGTACCTAGACACACCAAATACAATACTTTAAAACAGCAGAAAAGTTAAACCATTTCTAAAAAGTAGAATTAATAATTATACTGATAATGGCTTAGATTTAAAGGACTGATGACTCTTAATGTGATGAATGTCACAGATGAAGCATATAACCCGGATCCCAGCAGAAATGATTGTCTAGATTTTGAGGATGAAGAATAAAACATATCTGATACCTCTAAAATTATTTTCTTCCTTGTTATATAGTTATGGTATTCACTGAAATGCCATTTCTAATAGAATTCTTACTTTTTTTTATGGCTTGCTGTGCATATATATCAGTGAATATTTGCTTTTTTTTTTTCACAAGCAAGCATGACATTGGAAGTCATTCACATGTATTATTTTTCTACATCCATTGTACCAGTTTCTATTAAATCATTTGTTTATCTGCAAGTTCTATGGCTACCTGTATAGAAATTTATTCAAGTTCATTGGATTTTACTACTTGCTTTGTTCTACTTTTACAGTTATATTTGCTTTCTCTGCCTTTATTCTATAGGAATTGGTTTAACGTCACAATTTGGCTTGCTTCTTACTTATAGAGTCGTTGAAACATGATATTTACATTTCTGTTATGGTTCCCGTGTTATGGTGTGGGGCTTTATTTCCCCATGCATTTGTATATTTGAGCATTTTGTTGCCTGCTTTATACCAGCTCTCACTGATACTAATACATTTCTATAAGGTAATGGGATTTTGCCTTTTTTCAGTGTTAATTAAATAGTCTCACATATTCAGAATTTGTAATTTTCTATTGGATACTAGTATAGAATGTACTGTATTTTCACGAACTACTTTAGAAAAACTTTTAATAAAGGTAAATGGGATACACTTACCTATTAAGAGAAAATGACTGTCAGATTGGAACACACAGCAAAATATAAATTTGCTGTATTTAAAAGAGGCATCTAAAGCAAAAGATTCCAAAAGCTTGAAAAAAAATGGTGATGCCCTAAATAATGCCACTTAAAAATAATAAAAATGTTGAATACAATAAAAAAATGCATTGCTGTGCTGCCAAGAAAGAAAATGCCTTAAAGGTAGACAAACGTGAAGTGAATAAATGCATCCAAAGGGGCAAGGGAACCCTGATTTAAGCACTTACCCTGAAAGAGTCTGCTGATCCCTGATGAACTTGAGCTTCCTTTTACTAAAAGCTGCATGGGGCTTAGAAGAGAGGAGACAAAGCCTGGAGGGTGCCCAGAATGCAGGCGCTGAGACGACCCACACATACAGCCAGAATGCCTTACATCTTCAGTGAAAAGTGAACAATAGCAACAATAAAACAACAAGAAAAACAAACCAAAAATAACAACAACAGAAAACAAACCCAGAAGAAGAGCATATTAGCAAAACTTGTCTGTTACAAACTAGATGCTGGGTAGAGGGAAAAAAAGATTCACTTCCTGTGATACCCCCCAAAATCCCAAGTCAATTACTTTCAAGTGGTCACTAGTTAGCAGGGATAAATCACTTGGATGAATTAAAACCATATCCTCCTTGGTAGAATGCATCTTCCATCCAGACTTCAAATAATTCCAACAGATAAGGTTCCATTGAACATAATCTCAAATTTAAAAATCACAAAATGTGAGGATCCAAAGTAAAGTACCAGGATTGAGAACCAGCATAAAAAAAAAAGACAGCAGAATCATACCTGTAAATGTTTTAGATACTAGAATTATCTGGTGCAGAATATAAGTATACCTATCCTTAAATAATATGTTTAATTCACTCCTGAAAACCCTACTGCTAAATGAAAAGCAACTAAAGTAAAAAATATTTTCCTTAATTTTAAGCAGAAAAATTATGATGCATATTATCCAACCTCAAGAAAACTAAAAATTTCAGATAGAAAAATATATCAATTTTTCCACAAAACAAGTTTATATAAATAATAAACAACAATTTGTAACAATATAGTTTGTACATGAACTATAATGCTATAAAGCCTTATTGTAAACTTTCTTTTCTTCCTTCTGCACCATTTCCTTTACCAATTTTTCAGTCTTTTGTGGGGCTTATAGTTATTTTACACTAAAAATAAAGTTATAGCCAGAAAAACACCTTTAGTTTAATGCTCCTCTGACTTACAAGGCCTTATAGGACCTGTCTCCTTTCAAACCCTTTAAACTCTTTCCTTCCTATTCTTTCCTTGGTGTCTGAACTCTGGTCCACTGGCTCCTGTTCAGTTCTTCAAACTCCAGACTCTTCTGTGCCTTGAAATTGTCAAATCTGTGCATCCTACCTGGAATGCATCCTCTGCCACTCTTCACCTGCCTGACTCCTTCTCAGCTTTCTAATCTCAGATTAACTCTAATGGGCTCAGAGAAGCCCTCCCTTACTACCTCATGGAAGTTGGTCTCTCTTCTCTTGCACCCCCATCCTTCATCACTTTCTTCTGACCATACCGAATGATCCCAGTGGAAGACCTACAGACAGGTGCAGTTCTGTATAGACAACTGCAAGACCAAAAGGTGAAGGATACTCGGTGGAATGATTCTGGAGGGCTGCTCAAATTCAGACATCAAAGCTGGTTGAGGCTATTTCCTTAGGAAAAGGACAATACTAATTGGACCAACGTTCCGGGGAGTCCAGATAGCAACTGCAACCTGAAGACTACCTAGGCTTACGAGTATTATTTGCAGCTCTCAGTGAGAGATGCTTTAGATGTGCCTGTTCACTCAAGCCCTGAGGTTGATCACTTCGATTCAGCCCAGTCCAAGGATTCCCAGGGATGTTGTACGTGGTAATTGTACCACCTCCTTCTACCTGATGCAGGGTAACCTATAAAGGGGCCAAATTGAACTTGGACTATAGATCACTCTGAGATGCTGATGTGCTTGCCCACTAGTGGGAGCCCACTTCCAGCACCTCTAAGATAATGTTTGTTGCTTGCTAATGGGTGGGAGGAGGGGTGTTCCTCACACCAAAGGTTGGCATTTGCAAACACTGCTGTGCCAACAGGGCCTTACCCAACATGTGGCTCAAACCTGGGACCCTGGCATTTATGAAGGGAATTCCAGCTGCTGTAGAGAAGATGTATCAGAGGTGAACACTTGATGTCCAGTCTCCTTAGGTGGTCCATCTGGCACAGAACTTGAACACTCCTTGTAACTGGTACACACATACAGGTAATAAGTCTTGCTGGATACCAGTTCTATATGCATGTTGTGGAATCCATTCCATTACATTTACTATTGTGTGATAAAATTTAAGAAGTTCCTGTAAGGTTTTTCTTTTGGTTGTTTAACTTAAAATGCAAAAGAAGTGTCCTATGTATCAAATGATTTCCTAAGAGTCACCAAAGGGATTGAGAAAGAAAAACTATTTAGGGCAGTTATTTTGTCCACCAGGTAGCCTTGTCTCAGCTTCAGAAACCAAAGTGCAAGGTGACGCCCCACTTCTACCAAGGGCTTGGCTCTGCTGTTTGCATATTTTTGGTTCCAAGGTTCCTTCTTAGTTTCACAGAAGGAAATTGGGGGCTGAGTGAGCATGTGATAAGGGGGGTGGTTAAATGGGTTAGATACATTGTTTGCTCTTCTTGATTTGATGGGCATGTAAGTCCCACTCCATTTCTCCTCATATGAAAAGCCTAGGTGAGCCCAGGGGACTACTGGCCTTGGGTTACAGAGTCACTCTAGAAAGTCCCTCAGCCCAGCCCAGCCCCCTCTTAGACTTCAGAGTCCTGAGAGCAGGGATGTTCTATGCCCTTCAGGTGATCATAAAAAGGAAATTTCTCTCAAGTTGTAGAAAACAGCCTTTCTGGGGAAGAATATGCATTACCCACTCCCCCCCACCCCACACACCACAGCATCTTCCTACATCTTTGAATAAACTCAAGAGACATCCCAAGTAAAACCAGCCCCTGAAATCACTTTGTCCTTCCAACCATCCCCACTGAACTGATCTCAGATTTCCATCTTAAAACAGAGGTTAAAAATCAGCTTTTAGTATTGTGTTGAATGAAATATTTCATGTCATTACTTCAGTTTTAACATTAAAAACTAAATTCAAAGATAACAGTAAGTTCATACTATTCCAAAATTTTACTTGCGATTAAAGGCATTATTAGTAACCGACTGCTATATAATAATTATTCACTTCTAAAGAGTTGGATGTTAAAATAGAGCTAAACTCAGCCATGGTCATTTTTTTAATCATATTTCTCTTTATATTCAAAAGATTTCATTAACCATCTTAAAAGTCCTCTAAGCATTGACTTCAAAAGAGCAAAAATAGAAAAACAGAGTTTTTTGCTTAGTGGATACCCATGATTTATCTTCAGTGAATAATTAATTTGGCTTTAGTATCATTAAGTAAGGATATCGCATCCTTAGAACCAAACATTGTAACAAAAACCTCACTTTGCTTCTTTCAGGAAGTTAAGTTCTTCTTATTTATAAAGAAATAAAAGTTGCAATGAGATAGAATATAAGCTCACATGACCCATGGTGGTTCAACTTCTAATTCAGATACCTTACTCCTGAAGGAGAAAGAAATATGAGAAAACAGTACATGTCATTCCTGGGCAAAAAGAGAAGTGAGGACTCACATGTGGAAGATAAACAAACATATAGATAAGGAGAACAGATTAGTGGTTACTAGAGGGCAAGTGGGTGGGGAGAGGGTGAAAGGGGTAAAGGGGCACATATGTGTGGTGACAGATAAAAACTAGACTGTTGGTGGTGAACACGATGCAGTCTATACAGGAACTGAAATATAAAAATGTACACTTGAAATTTATACAATATTGTAAGCCAACATGACCACAACAAAATAACTAAAAAAAAAAAAGAGCAGTGAGGAGAGACAAATGTAACAACCCTTAGCCAGCTGACCAATTAAAGAAAGGGTTAGCAAAGATAAGTGAATCTACCGATAAT